CTACTAATAAGAACAATATAAAAACGCACTAAGGATTAATGAGCTACTGGATTCATGAATATTAATCAGGTTGTGTGCAATAATGCGACCCTGGCGAGCCGCGAGTATCTGGCCCAAGCGCAGTGTGTCGCTAACCATGTGCAGTTACTCAACATCTGCTTCTGATATTGTGTACTTGGTACATTCTGAAACTGATTTCTCTCCCGCATTTGTCCTGCTTCTGTCGGTCGTACCAGTGCATGAATGAGATTCCGTTTAATGTCATCTGTATCTAATGTATCTAATGTAATTAGATACGGATCATCACATACTGTACATAAACATCTGCTATAGGGCTGTTCTGATGAAGTGTTAAGGGCAAGATCATCTGATATGGATTAGTGTATAATAAAATAGAAATAGAACAAAAATAAAGCTGACACAAAATGTGAAACCAAGCCTTACTTATCTTTGAAATGAATGTTGTTGACCTTATTGTGACTGATTTAACTATACAGATGTTTATTCAATTTACTTATTTATTTTACAAATTTGACCTCGCAAGTTTTTTATTAAAATATCATGGCTCTGAAGCGCGCAGTCAGAGTGTTCTGTGAGTGAAAATATATCTGTGCTAATCATATACTCCGCATCTAACTCACACACTGGTGAGTAAAATCTGAGAATTTATTAGCCAATGGGTAATATTAAACATCATTTAGTCGCCCAGAGTGAAGATTTAGTCGCATATGCGAGTGATTTACTCTCAATGTATACGGTTGGTAAGCTAATTTGTCATTGTATCTTACTGATTTATTGTTGTTGTGCAAAAGCACAATAATCCCGCGGTTAGATAAAATAACCACGATTAGACTGTTATTTAATTATCGCGACAGGCCTACTCCTCCCCTCACTGCAGCCGCCTGCTCACGCCTACATTTCAGGCGAGGCGCATCTCAAACAAGCCTAATTATTTGGCGCCACAGTCATGTCATCGCCGGTGTGGAAATGCTATGACGTTTCGAGAAACAATGAAAAAAATCGCCTTTATGTTTTTTTGAAAATTTGTCCTGTATGTTTTGCATGATGATATGATGGTTAATTTTTAACAGCAGATTCAGTGACGTTAGATCTGATCTGCGCCTCACTGCACACGTCTGCGGCGTGTTACGGCTCCACGGGAACCGGAGCTGATCGCGGCCGCTCTAGTCAGTCTAGTCAGTGCTTGTGTTTATCAGCCAGCCGCGGCACGTTTCTGAAGCGGCTCTCCACGCTGCTTGGCTC